TAATTTTCCAGCAACAAAATTGTGGCCAGTGAAAATGCTGAGTGGCTAGTAATTTTGGAAAACCACTAGCCACAGTGGCTGGTGAGCAAAAGAGTTAATGTCAAGCCCTGTATACAGTGAATACTTGACGTGGATACTTGTATTGCAGTAAAAAATTTGGTGTTTAACCGGAGTACGGTGGTGGGGGTGCCTGACATGTGTCAAACACTAGAAAGGGGTGCACGCTGCAAAAAGTTTGGGAACCACTGATCTACACTATACTCAAAGCAGAAAAAAACTAGCTGTGCTTTTCCTTTCAGTACACACTGACAATAGCAACAATAACACGCAATTTTCTTCTGACCAAACCTGTAAATCAGCGATATGCTCAAAGATAGTGAAAAAGATATCAGGATCACCGTTGTTAAATTTAGGAACAAGTTTCAAATTTGAATTCAATGCAAATGTACCTCGATCCTCCACATCGCTAGAAACAGCACCCATACAACGAACGGGACACATGCGGATATCGGAACCAACTCAGGATTTATTAACAAAATAGAAAATGAAACAAACGAGTGCTAATGTAACCATCAGTAAAGTCAGTGGTGTAGTGTCAAGTGTATACATGATATGTAATGTACTATGGCCCAGGTGCAAATGTAACAAAGGGAAAAATAGGTACAATAAAAGCAAACAAAATGAACCAAAAGAAGGGGCCACCCAAAAAGTAGTAGAATGGCTCCTTTTAAAGGAGACATGTTATGCTCCTTTTTACAATATGTAATATAAGTCTCTGGTGTTCCCAGAATGTGTATGTGAAGTTTCAGCTCAAAATACTCCACAGATCATTTATTATGAAATTTTGAAAATGCCTATTTTGAGTGGAAGCAGAAACACGCAGTTATTCGGGCATGTCACTTTAAATGCAAAGGAGCTGCTGCTCCCCGCCCCCTTTTCCAGAATAGAGCTGCGCCATTACAGCTCGGACCTGCTAAAAACATCTGTTTTGGTTTTGATTATCATGTTTTTCGCGCTGAAATCATGCGTTATAAACCATATGAGTTTAAACTTCTGATATACGGTTTTCTGAGTGCACACATCCGAAGCACACGGACAGAAAGCGGCCACCAGACAGCATGTGAGTACTAAACTAAGTTCTCATTCACACACAAGTTTACGTTAAAAACACACATGAGTTACAAAAACAGTGGGTTATGTCTGTGAAGGTAAACAGCTGGGAAATAAATCGCATGATCTGTGTGGCAGCAGCAATATACAGTAAATAAATCAATA